GTCCCTCCGTCCCTCCGTCCCTCCGTCTCTCCGTTCCTCCCTCCCTCCGTTCTTCCCTCCCTCCGTTTCTCCCTCCCTTTGTTCCTCCCTCCCTCCGTTCCTCCCTCCCTCCGTCCCTACGTCCCTCCCTCTCTCCCCTCCCTACACACACGCGCCACCTCAAGTTGTTGCCAAAGCCAATCGTACTACGTGTTTGCAGACAATCCAATTCCCGTTTTCAGAATTTTTACGTTTCGGGCGGGCGACACACCCAGCCCTGCGGAGCGGAGTGGCCGTGTGGCGTGGCGCGCAGTGTAGGAGTTGCGGGGCGTGGCGGGGCGCGGCGGAGTGCACAATAAAACTTTAGAAAGTTGTTGCGGGGCTGGCTGGGGGTGGGGCGGGTCCGGCCGGCGGTGGTGGCGCGCCGTGCCGCTCCTCCCAGGTCTGAGCCCCGCCCTGCCCCGCCCCGTCTAGGACTCGCTGCCTCCTGACTGCGCTTCACCGCCCGACACAACCAGGCTCCTGCCCTGCGAGCTAGTGGTCCTTTCCGCGGGCATCGAAAGGGCCTCCGGTCAACCTGACGACGCGGGCTCCGTCCAAGGCGGCTTTGTCGGTCAGCCGGGGGGAGTGTCGTAGTTGGGCTTACCTTACTCTAGGTGTTATAGAGGGAGAGAGAGGGGGGGGGGGATGAGGCGCACGGAGCTTTAGGGATGAAGGGCGAGCTCGCTAGAGCCGAGCAGCCCCTGCACCCTGTACCGTGTACCCGCGCTCTGTCTCACGCGCTCAGCTGCAGCAGGTCGATTCCTCAAACTGTCGCGCACCCTTTCTCTCTACGTAGATTCTTCTTTGCTGATCGCAAGATTGGAAAGACTTTGTATCCGGTCGGAATGTCCTCCGCACCCGCACCCGGTACGGCACCCACTCCCCGAAGCCCAAACCCCAAACCGGTGGCGCTGCCGCCCTTCCTGAATCTAGCCGTGTGTCCCAGCCCCCCCCCCCCGTCTCTTCAACCCTCCTTGCCCCTGCCCCTTTCACCCGGGGACCGCTCGTATTTTGCCAGGTCACGGCGATTAAGCGGAAAGGCGGACTTTAAAAAAAGGCGGAAGTGTCCCCTTGGGTCCAGCAGGGACCCTTCCTGTCCCCGCCCGCGCCTCTCGTCCTTCGCTCTCGCCTCTCCCTCTCTCCCTCTCTCTGTCTCCCTTTGCCGCTGAAGAGGACAAAAACAAACGACCCGTGCTGCCAGCGATCGCGAGCGTAGCATTTCCGTTGCAGATTCTGCAAAAGGTAACCGCCACTCCACCTCTCGTCCACGGGGTGTATACCTGCCTCCATGCTGCCAGCTCAGTACAGTCGTCATTTCCAAAAGTACGTCTCGTCGCGCAAGTGTCTGCCTGCCTTCCCCCCACCTCGGCTCGTCCCCCGGGACGCGCAGAGGCCGCATCTACCCCGACTGGACTGGCGGGGGCATTACCATAAAATATCCATTCGTGGAGCGTCATGTATTTTTATTAGTCCAGTTCTGGCTATGTCGGATAAGCGGGCCGCAGGCGGTGAAATGTGTTTGCTATGAAAGCAGCAGATTGAATGTGCGTCGCGCACTCGCGTCGCTCCGGCGGCGCTAGCGGCGCTCTCCGCCACGCCCTGCAGAGCCCTGCCGCCAGGAACGAGAAAGCACATAAAAAGGAAGGGAGGGCGAGCTGGGATGTCGACCTCCTCAGGCAAGCAGCAGGCTGAGGGGCCGCAAGGATTCGGCTGCACCCGCGCCAAGTCAAGCCAGCCTGGGCGGGGCCGGCCACACCCGCCACGGCCGACGGCGGCGGGTGGGAGAGAACCGCCCATTCCACTTCTTGTCAAGGCGTCGGAAGTGTTTTCACCGAAAAGCAGGGGTGGGGGGAAGCGGGGCGTTTGGAGCGGGGGCTTCGCCCGGCTCGGCTCACCACCGCAAGGTTCTTCCCCCCCTGCCTCTCCCCTCACTCCCTCCCCTTCCCTCTCCCCACACCTTCCTGCCCACACATCCATTTTGCCCTTTGCACTTACCGGGCTTGCAAATAAACGGCCCGCGAACCAGTAATGTTTCAGAGCCACCCCGCCCCGGCCCCGCCCCGCCGCAGCAACAGCGTTGCGCGCACCGCCGCGCCGGCCGCAGAGCAAGGAAAGGAAAAGAGAGTATGTAGACTCCTCTCGCGCCCGCTGCCATTGAACGGCGCATCGCCTCAAAAAAGGGGAATGAAGTAGGGGGAATAAAAAAAATTAGGAAATGAGATTCGCGTTCGCGTCACGGTTCGTAGTAGACGGTTCGCGCCGTGCGACATTGTTATTTATGATTATATATTTGCAAAACGGGCGACAGGGAAGGGCGGAGCGGTGGAACCGCCGCGATCCGCTTCTGGCCGCGAGTTTATCGTCATTTCAGTGGCCAGATCCAATCTACGTTGAGGATTACGGAAGTTGGGAGAAGGGGAGAGAAAAAGCAAACAGACACTCCGGCCCGCCTCTTGTTTGAGTTCGGCGAGCGAGCCCCTCTCCCGCTTCGCGCGGCGGCCCGCGGCTCGGCTGTGGCCACATATGGGACCCTGGCTGGCGGAGACCCACCAGCGCCCAGTATGGTAGAGATGGGAGCATCGCGGGGGGGCCCCGGGGGTGAAGGTGGCGGGGGGCAGGGGCTGCCGCAAACAAAGGCAACAGCTCGCGCGCCGCGGCTGATGGCCGCGATGGTTCATCTTGGCGGCCCCGCCTCTTCTGCCTTCTCCTCCCTCTCCCCCCTTTCCCTCTATCTTCCTCTGCCCGTTCTCCTCTTCCCTTCCCTCTTTGTCCTTCGCCCCCTTTTCCCAACGGGACGCCCGCCTCACGCTGCTCCACCGCGCGCCCACTTTGATTGATTCCGAACTCATCGTGATTATTATTATTTTTTCGATTTTCTCTGCCTCGGTGGGTAAAAAGTGATGAGGACTGTTTTTAATTTGTTTACGCCGATAATCGGTAATCAAAATTCGCAATCCAAAGAATAAAAGAATAAAGTGATGAGCAGGTCGTGTGGTTTGCTGTGAAGCCCACACGCCACACCAAGCGTTTATAGGTAAGCGTAGGCGCCGGAGGGGGGG